CGGTCCATGGAAGATTGAGAACGCAAAAACGGCACTTTTCAGGGACGACTCAAATTGTTAACCCTTCCCCCCACCCCCATTTGGGGATGTGCCTCAGTTGCACCCAACTGTTGTTATTAATACTGATTTTCGGATTGGCTGACATTCAAATTAAACTGCTCTAATAGAACGGCAAAAATTCCCAGTAATAAAATACCCGGTCGAAGACGGGTTATACTACTAGTGTTTACCTATAAGCCATAGATTCCTAGTACCTAAAAATGGCTTAAACCCATAATACTATAATATTAAATGCAAATAGTAGGTTGCAGATTTATATGCAATGAAACATGGTGAAAATATAATAAATTTATTTTTGTACAACCTGAAGATCGTTTGTTTTATTTTTACTTTCTGTTTTTGCGTAACTAAAGTTAAATTTATCAAGTTTGCATTTTCTACTGTCAATCATTTTTTTGTCAAATAATAGTTTAAGTGTTAGTACCTTTAAAAAGGTAATATAAACTATCTTATCGTATAATGATTATTTATTATAATATAATTACAGTTTTGGTACAAGACCGAAGAGTGAGAGTGAGGCTAGTCAATATCGACTATTCTAAACCTAGATAATCTGGTTCACAATCCATAAATTCATTACAATTTAATCTTTTTGCCAACAAGAATTCATCCATCACAGTTCGATCCAACATATTCCACAAGTTTGTATATTCACAAGGATCCTACTAAAGTATACATGATAATGTTTTTTTTTTAATTTATTTTTGTTTTACAAAAACATATAAATGTATATGGCATGAAATAAGGCGGGCGGGACTGAACTCAATAACGATAATAAAGTACAACCAAATATTCAATATATATATATATATATATATATATATATATATATATATATATATATATATATATATATATATATATAATGAAGTCCTAATCTCCAAGTAGTTGGAGGCCCAAATCCTGATTTCTGTTTTTTTCTTCTTTTCTGTTATCTTCATCCAAAATTTTTCGATATTTTTATCTGTTTATTTATGTACAATTATTTCCTAATGTGTCTTGCCTCCTAGTGTTTTTGTTTACCGAATGTGTTATATATCTACCCTCCCTCCCAAAAAAAATGAAGTTACTTTTGAGGGATCTTCTAAAACACGTGAATATCCGTATACTATATGTTCCGAAAGTTGTAATAGCCGGGATGATAACGAGGACAAGCTCCCACTATATACAAAATGCTTCCTTAGCATGCATATAACCTTTGACAACTAAGTCAAGCTCCAAGCCAGAGAATGGGCGACAGCGGACAACTGGCGCTTCATAACCAGCTAATCGAGTAGATGGAGCTCAACAGGAAGGCAGTGCAACTTTGGGAAGGAAAACCCTGATTTTAAACCTCCACTATTATTGCGGTCATAAGCAAATACCAAAAATGCTATGGAAGTAAATTCAGACAGAAAAGCCGAAGTGGAGCCCCGAAGGCGGTTGTCTGTCAACATTGACAACTTTCCGGCCACTTCTGCAACTAAACTGTCTACGTATTCCTTTGGATGTTGATGGTACGTGCAAGAGGAGAGGCCTGAATTCCAGGCAGAGCCACGCTTCGTATACCCAGGTCAACGCCCCGGTGATGCCACTAAACAAAGCGCTACCATTATCATGCGAGATAAACCGATGCCTACTTAATTACGACAACCTGAGGAGGATATATTTATGCTTAATCTCTGCAGTACTCATTTCCATTGCTACATAAAAGTCCCCAATCACCGTTGAGTGGTTAGTATAATAAATTTTGCAGAACATTTTTATCTCGATTTCGATTCTCACAGAACGATGTCATATTTAGTTATGGTGTAAAATGAATCTAAGCTTAATTAGTTTACCCAGGCAATCACAGCCAATGAACTGTTACCTCTGACTTCTAAAGGGTCATATATTAGATTTTACAAACATTTTTGCATGTAAATAATGAGTGACTTATATAAAGTGTTTTTGGAACACTTCAACGTGGTGTAATGGTTCACAAGCTTGTCTTGCTAGATCAATTACGAGTAAGTAACTGACTGGATCCTCACCGGTTGCTCCACACTTTTGGCCTTGTGTCACATCTGAGCTTCGCTTATTAAATCATTAAAGTAACTTCGATGTAGTGTAATGGTTAGCAAGCTTGTCTTGCTATATAAAATACGACTGAATAGTGAGTTCGATCCTTGCTGGATGCCTCATACTTTCGACCATGTGCTACATCTAAGCTAGGCTTAGAAAATCACTCATATTTTTGTTATTTCATTCATCGCAAGTAAGTCGATAAAGCAAATAAGATACAATGGTTTAGTGAGAGTGAAAGAAAATGGGCAAACGTTATTTAGAAGAGAAGACAATAAAAAGACAGGCGACAAAAATGACGATTGACATTGAATTTGGATTTTTCTACATCGTATTTGACAGGAAAGCAAGATGCTAAAACAGAGGTTCACAAACGATAAATGCGTGAGAGGAAAATATTAGCATTGGACTCACGTTTACATCCCACAATCACAATAGTAAAATGATGGGACCTAACTGCCAATCTAGTACTACGCGTACATTCAAAAAGTGCAGATAAATCTCACAAGAAAAAAAGCCATGAAAATATTTATAGATAAAGGCACAGGGAACCTAGGTTACGACGATGGAAAAGTGATTGGAGCCGAGATACCAAGTCAGGACCGATAACATTGCAAATTCTCCTTTGGATTTTGTCAATAACCTTTGGCTACATACAAACAGCAACAGATCAGATTTTGCAGGAAGCTTAAATTGAAGGAAAAATGGTAGATGTAATATATTCATGATTCTGAAGATAAGAATTTGTCTTTTTGACAAAGTGAACCATATATTCTTAGTACCAGACCTAGCAATTCATTTTATATAATCGCTCCAATTCCTATCAATGGTAAACGTTAGAACGAGGAGGCGCAATGAGATAGTTTACTCGAGGTTAGGTTCATCCATATTGAAATTGGAACTCAGCTCCCCGAAATCCAATTCCGAATCCTTGTCTTTTACACCCGCGGCATATCTGAGTTTGCAGCACCTGGTATTCATAAGCAAACCACCATCTAGTTAATGACAAGACTCGACATTCATTCTGTGATCGTATGAGAACCGATATTTCAAAGCGATACGGCCGTAAGCTTTTATTATTTCGGAAAGGGACTTCAACTCTTTTACAATTCAAGTACGTATGCCTTCTCTTTCACACACAAAAAAATAGTTCAGATTTATTCACTGATTATATCTCAAATCGCATGACATGGTTCTCTGTTTCTCTTCGAATTGGCTTCCTAATTCCTTCTAAAATTTTAGGGTCTAGAAATAAGGTTACCCCAGGCGGGACTATCCTTACTATTTCCAACTACATTAATAATAAGTTGATGAGGATAGTAACATATTACAGTATATGTTCTGCCTGAGAAAAAAAAATGAAAATAGCATGAATTGTGCCACAAATTAGCATGCTGCTTCAAATAAATAAAAAACAAGACATTTTAGTTCATTAGAGAAAGGTATTCAAACGATCTAGACATAAAAATAGGTAAGGCCTTTTCATCACATGTTACAAAATGTGCAACTCGTAAAAACATCAATAACTAATCCTCGGTACACGATTTTTTAAATTGATGTCCGTTTATAAACTTTGTCGCATGTATGTCGTTATTCCGTCACAAACACTAAATATGCCTGTCATATTTCTTAGGTTAGATGTATTAGGTTTATCCCGAAATGTTAATGGTAATATTAGCCGTTTCCCTATAAGGAAACATTTAGCATTCATCAACCGAGCAGCCAATATTGTTTGCTGTTGAAATCTATAAAATCTTTCTCTTAACAAAATACTTTAGGAAAACAGGTTTCTCTGCTGTTATCGCTCTTTCCAGTATTGATGGAGGCTTCCTTCCTAACCTTTTTGAAGTGATGTGGAAGTTAACATCTTGATTATGGCATCATTCTTTCTTCGAGTTTCATATCCACTTTATTTATTGCTGCTGTTGGTAGCCCTCAAGTGATGTTGTTTCTGTTATTTAGTACAGTTCTTTGTTTGTGATTCTGTAGTGCCAATCCAAAATGTTCAAAGATGGCTGTTTTTTTTTTTTTTTTTTCTTTTCTTCTGAGACCAGCAGTCCAAACTCTATCAATACAGTTCCAATTCCCGTTCGGTTCGTTATATTCCCATATGAGCAAATAACATACGGAAAGGTATGAATACGCCACTTCTCCACTCCACGTTATGGGCTAATTAGTAATTAGTAATCAATTAGAGTTTCTAAAAACTTCTTAAAATCTAAAAATAGTTTAAGCTTTTCAACACATTTCGGGTCATTTAAAGTAAGATGCAATGTGTTGAGCCGTAAAAATACCCAATCACTTAAATACATGAAAAGTCATGATTTTTCTTGAAATATATTTTCAGGCTTTAAATAATCTGATGAGTTAATCATGGGTTTGTCATACCAGACTTACTAATTAACCCATAGCTGGAGGGGAGAAGTGGTGGGTTTATGCATTTTCCAAGGATATTTGTGCGCAACTGAATAAAACGAACTCGTCGGGAATTGGAATTCGGCTCTCCGATTAACAATTCCGAGTCATTATCCATTATACCATGATATCACAAGCGTGTGAGCAACGATGATGTCTTGGAGAGGATGCAAACAAGAAGGTTTTACTTAGAATAAAAACAGAGGCAGGTGAAATTTCTTGGACACGTAATGAGAAAGGAGGGCCTGCAGTATCTGATATTCACAGGTCGAATAGAGGGAAAAAGAGACAAGAAAAAGCAACGCATGACATACATGCCGGGCTTCAAGCAGCTGGATGGCAGATCGTAGTCTGGGGAGAGTTGGCAGAGGCACAAAACTTATTGAGAGCTGCAAGGAATAGGAAGATTGGAGAGCCATGATCGCCTATATCCTGAAAGGTCACGGCACATTAAAAGAAGATTCATTACACTAGCCCCAGATCCAACAACCTGTTATTCCCAAGCGGTCACTCATCTAAGTACTGACCTGGGTCGGATTTGCTTAACTTCGGTGATCTCACGGGAACCGGTGTTTCAACACGATATGTCCGTAAGTCGCAGATTCTATGGAAGGAAAATTATCATCAACAGCGATTAATGGATGTTGATAGCAACTGAAAGTAATATGCACCGTTTGTTCAACATGCTCACGTCTGTTGACGAATCGAATCCGTACGATCACCGGAGTTAAGTAACATAAAGCCTGGTGAGTAATTAACTAAGTGACCGCTTGGGTATACAAGGTGATGTAAGTGAGGAAGACCGAATGGTTTAATAGACATCCACTCTGAATTGGAAATCAAATAAATTAATCAAACTAGTTGAGACAGATCGTGATGGCAAGGAATAATTAAAACACAGAGAACAGAGTCGAAATCTATCTCGAAGCAAACAAGAGAGCGCTTGGAAAAAAGCTGGTTACAGAGACATGCCATACTTATAAGCCACTTGGCGCACATCGGCCATGGACTGAAGATTTAGCAAAGGGTAAGTATGATTTGACCAAAACTCAGTAAGTTACACAGTTTGACACTTGGTACTGTTTGTTCCTTCGTAAGATGAGTGTCTGCATCTGTTGACGAAACTTGTTATCGACATAAAAGCTATTGTAGCATACCTACGAACGATAATGTGTAAGTCCCCATTCACGTAAATACAGAAGTAAACACGGCATGAAGTCGGCAGTTGGAGATTCAGCTCCAGCTGTGCTGGCCAAACTCTCAGCATCCGGGCAGAGGGGTTCCCCAGACGAGGCTATGTCGAAGGCCATAGTCTCGTCTCGGGAAATAGCTACCCGACACCGTTTTATACGGGGTCCACGGGGAATCTTTGGCCGTGCCTATGAGCTCAGAAGCTCCACATAAAATTCGGCCACATCTGACAGCGTGGAGCGCGTTGGTAGATATCCTGCAGTTGGAGATTCGTCTCAAGATGTGCTTGTCTAACTCTCTGCATCTGGGCAGAGATGATCACCAGACGAGGCCATGACGAAGGGCTGAGTCTCGTCTTGGGAAACAGATACCTGACCCCGTTTTATATGATGTCTACGGGGAATTTTACGCCAAGCCTACGGGATACTACACATTAAATTCAGTCTTGTGCCACATCTGACCGCGTGGAGCGGATGGTAGATATCCTGCAGTTGGAGATTCGTCTCAAGATGTGCTTGTTAACTCTCTGCATCTGGGCAGAGATGATCACCAGACGAGGCCATGACGAAGGGCTGAGTCTCGTCTTGGGAAACAGATATCTGACCCCGTTTTATATGATGTCTACGGGGAATTTTACGCCAAGCCTACGGGATACTATACATTAAATTCAGTCTTGTTACATCTGACCGCGTGGAGCGGATGGTAGATATCCTGCAGTTGGAGATTCGTCTCAAGATGTTTGTCTAACTCTCTGCATCTGGGCAGAGATGATCACCAGACGAGGCCATGACGAAGGGCTGAGTCTCGTCTTTGGAAACAGATACCTGACCCCGTTTTATATGATGTCTACGGGGAATTTTACGCCAAGCCTACGGGATACTACACATTAAATTCAGTCTTGTGCCACATCTGACCGCGTGGAGCGGATGGTAGATATCCTGCAGTTGGAGATTCGTCTCAAGATGTGCTTGTCTAACTCTCTGCATCTGGGCAGAGATGATCACCAGACGAGGCCATGACGAAGGGCTGAGTCTCGTCTTGGGAAACAGATACCTGACCCCGTTTTATATGATGTCTACGGGGAATTTTACGCCAAGCCTACGGGATACTACACATTAAATTCAGTCTTGTGCCACATCTGACCGCGTGGAGCGGATGGTAGATATCCTGCAGTTGGAGATTCGTCTCAAGATGTTTGTCTAACTCTCTGCATCTGGGCAGAGATGATCACCAGACGAGGCCATGACGAAGGGCTGAGTCTCGTCTTGGGAAACAGATACCTGACCCCGTTTTATATGATGTCTACGGGGAATTTTACGCCAAGCCTACGGGATACTACACATTAAATTCAGTCTTGTGCCACATCTGACCGCGTGGAGCGGATGGTAAATATCATGCAGTTGGAGATTCGTCTCAAGATGTGCTTGTCTAACTCTCTGCATCTGGGCAGAGATGATCACCAGACGAGGCCATGACGAAGGGCTGAGTCTCGTCTTTGGGAAATAGATACCTGACCCCGTTTTATATGATGTCTACGGGGAATTTTACGCCAAGCCTACGGGATACTACACATTAAATTCAGTCTTGTGCCACATCTGACCGCGTGGAGCGGATGGTAGATATCATGCAGTTGGAGATTCATTGTGTAATTCACTTGATTCAGTTCTAGCAGTTGACTATTTCTTATACGTGTCGCTGGCGAAACTCATATGTGTTGTTCTTGTCCTGAATATTATCGTTCGTTACCAAACTTCGTGTGATTATTATATTCAGTAACCTTCCCTATGTTATAAAAAAAACTTAGCTTCTTTTGGGTTGAGAAATTTACCTCTCATCAACACCGGACAAAAAAACGATTAAAGTTAAGTATAGAATTCATTAGAATTTCACTGGGTCTGTTCACTACCGATAAACACATATTTCAGGCTCTGGATGAATATTTCCTTCCAACAGGTTTAGATGAATCAAAATTGGATGGAAAATACGTCCCAATAGTTGATGCTAGTTATTGTGAAAGAATATATTAACCGAATGGCCTAATGCTTCTAATATTTCTTATTTCGACATTTACCAACCGAGTTGAGGGTTTTGTAGTTTTGAATTTCAAAACGCTCAACATATACAGAGTGCGATGGGTAAATTGTTAGCATATTGTATTTTTTAATTTCGCGAATGCGCTTTGTTTGGTTTGGATTTTATCGACTGCACAGTAAAGTAGGATTAGTTGGGTACCTTTTGTGAGAAAAAGATCACCATGACGCGATTCACTCCGCCAGAAATTTGGAAATGGCAGGCTGCGCTGCTTGGCATTCGCGCCGCAAGCACCAATACGAACATTTCAGTGTGTTTGGGTGTTAAGGTGAGGACAGTGCAGAGAATTCGGAAAGAGTTGGATGAGTCTAATGGTGATTACGAAGGTGTTTGGAGTGATCATTATGGTGTCGTTATGCGTCCATTCATCTTCCCACAGGCTATCAGACTCAACGCGAAAGCCTATGTCAAGTGCTTTGAGGAGGTACTGCTGCTCTGGATGAAGAGAGCGGATGCTGGAGAATTCTCTATCTGACAGCAGAACTCTGAACCATGCTACACAAGCAGGAATGCACAATCATTTCTGTCAGACAATTTGGACAATCATATCACCCCTTATATCCTGCCGCCTTTGAAACCCCTTGATTATTATGGGTGGGGCTTAGTTGTGAGGGAGAAACTCCTTGTAAGACCAAGATGAACTCAAGGCAAGAATTATGGCAGCATTCACCAAATGCCTTGATTAAAGCCAATGGCGATTTTATTAATAAATTTACTCTGTAGTGCTTCAAGATATTTTTGTGAAAAATTGGTAAACATATCTATTAAAATAAGATGCCAGTGTTATTTCTATTTTTCTTAATTCAGACGACAATTTATCTATCTATCTATCTATCTATCTATCTATCTCATTCTGTTCATATCTATCTATCTATCTATCTATCTATCTATCTCATTCTGTTCATATCTATCTATCTATCTATCTCATTCTATCATATCTTATCATTCTATCTATCTATCTATCTATCTCATTCTGTTCATATCTATCTATCTATCTATCTATCTATCTATCTATCAAGTTTCAAAATAAGATTGGAAATAAGAATCATAAATTCGAATTTAACGAGACGCTGTTCTCATCAAAAGTAATAAATAATGAAAAACGTTAGGAAATCAATAAAGTACTTAAGAATATTATTAATATTAATAAAGTAAATAAGTTAGTGATATCCGTAATAATAAAATATGCCGCGATAATATATGTAATAATATATATTAATTAGCTATGTTATTTAAAATGGAGTATTATTTTTCTTGCTCTTTCGAGTACAAAGTTGCATTTGTATATGATCGCTCGCTCTTACATTTACCTATATTTACCCATTTGTATGTTTGTATGTATATGTACACACACACACACACACACACACACACACATATATATATATATATATTATTATTGTTAATTTTATATATATATATATAAAATTAACAATAATAATAATTGTTATATAATAATAATAATAATAATAATAATAATAATAATAATAATAATAATAATAAAAATAAAAACATATTCTAAAAAATGTGGCACACGAGAACATCAACAATCGCTGTTGTAGTTGGAGACCTCGGATTGTTTGGAAAAGATTCCAGTAGACGCATTGAACGGATTTCTGGAAGCCTATGTCTTAAAGAAATACAAGAAATTGTACACTTTCCGAAGTCTTTTATCTATGTAAAATATGTGTGTACATTTTTTTTAATTGGTCAGTGGGAAATATCATGATGCCCTTTCTAGACTTAGGTCTGTGGGCGAGACACGGAAAGAAATGTATACTAACCAGGAGAAATAATAATAATAATAATAATAATAATAATAATAATAATAATAAGGAGATACGAAAAATTGTTCTGACAAGTACAGCCCACACTTTACGAAGGGCTTTATCTATGTATTTTTTTTTTTGTTTTTTTTGTCAGTGGAAAGTATCATGGCGCCATTTCTAACCTTTAGAAGGTAAGAGGGGACCCGGAAAGAAATGCGTAAACGCCAGAAATCAAAGAAAATAATAATAATAATAATAATAATAATAATAATAATAATAATAATGAACAGATTGTTGGATAACAAATATGGTTAAGGAATATGAAAAGAATGATTATTTTTGTATTTGGGAAAGGGTCTTGCTATGAGTTTGTACTAACTAGAATTTCGAAGAATCGAAATGATCCTGTCAAACAACATTAGCAAAAAGAATAAATTAGAATGCTGGAGAATTACAAAGACTATTCATGTGTAAAAATTACATTTGTTTGTAAAATGTTTGCTAAATCCTTAATAAATCGGTTAAAATATTTAAGTGGAAAC